CCTTTAGTTTGCAGGCCAGCACTCAGTCCACTGAGCCACACCAGCCAGGGCTGTGATAAGATTTTAAATATCTATTCTCAGCAATTTTCAAATATTCAAACAGTATTATTAATGTATTATTACTACAATCACCATGCTGTACACTACATTCCCATCACACTAATCTCAATAAAAATTGAACTATTTTAAAAACTTAATTAAAGGGCTAAGGTGCATGCAGAATGGACAATCTAAAGAGGGCACCAAGGAGTAGAAAGAGAAATGAGAGAAAATTAGCGAGGAAGAAGTGAAGAAAAATAAACGTTAAACAGCCCCCCACGACTCAAGACAAAACGCACGCCTGCAAATTGAAAGGGCCACCGACTGTTACTACGCAAACTGTGCGCTCGCCCACGCATATGCACGTATGCACGGCAGCCCTGCCAGACTCGGAGACACTTTGTCCAGCCTCCAAGGTGAAAACACTGTGCTCGTGTGCACTGCATGGCTAGATAGAGCGACCAATGGGACAGAAGAGAAACTCCAGAAAAATGAAAATGGAGTTTGCAGTGAGGCAGCGTCTCCAATCGGTGGGGGAAACAGAGGCTCTGAGGAAAATGGTTTCGTGTGCTAGGGAGTCGCGGAGAAGATGAAACTGGATGAGTGGGTTGCTTCCACCCAAGCCGCACGTAGAAACAAAACACGGTGACTTTCCAGCATGGCTGAGAAAAATGAGGAAAACATGCCTTACTGTGGACTCAACATCCAGAAGCAATTAAAGAAAAAAGCCATAAATTTGAGTACAAGAAAGGCGAACTTCTGTATAACAAAAAGTAAAATCAATAGCTCCTGGTATTAACCAATGATAATATGAAGTAGGAAAAGAAATACAGTGTCATAATGACCTTAGAAACCTAATAAGAAATGTGCCACAAGTAGTATAACTATAAGACTTAACCGAAGGATAATAAAATTGACCTACCTGGAGAGATAAACCATTTTTGAGAGTGGAAAGGTTTATTGTCATAATAACGTCAATTCTCTCAAATAGTCTATAAATTCAATGTAATCACAATTCTAATACCAAGGTTTTTTCAAGGAATTTCATAAGGTAATTCTAAAATGCATATAAAAATGATGCAGCCCCTTGGTAAGAAAATCTGGTGGTTTCTCACAAAACTGCAGCAGTTTCTTAACAAACTGCTGGTTTCTTACCAGACAATCCCGCAGTAGTGGGCCTTCCTTGGTATGAACCCCAAGGGGACGTAAACTTCAGGCCACATAGAAACCCATACACATGTTGGTAGCAGCTTTGCTTATAATTTGCCAAAACTTGGGAGCAACAAGGCATCCTTCATTATATGGATGGGTAAGCAAACTGCGGTGCACCCACTGAATGTTGTTCAGTGCAGAAAAGAAATGAGCCATCAGCCATGAAAAGACAACACCTGAATGAAAGAAAAGGCTACATGATACATGATGCCATTTGCATGACATTCTGAAAGAGGCAAAACTGTGGAGACAGTAGAAGATCAGCGGTTGCGGGGGCTCAAGGGAGGGGGGGGATGAATAGGCAGAGCATGGAAGAAATCTTCGGAGTGGTGGAACTACTCCGTAGGACACTGCAATAGTAGGTATACGTCGTTATACATTTGTCCAAACCCGATGACCCTATAACACCAAGAGTGAACCCGAACATAACTATAGACTTTGGATGTGACGTGTCAGTGTCGGTTCATCTGCTGTGACAAATGTACCACTGTGGTGAGGGGTGCCCATAAAGGGGGAGGCTGTGCAGGGATGGGGACAGGCACAGGGAGCAGGTGGGGAATCTATTTGCCTCTTAATTTTGGTGTGGACCAAAAATTGCTCTAAAAACACTGCCTTAATCATTAAATATTTTCTAAATTGTTTAAGTATAAATATTCAGAAGTACTAAAAACAAGTTGGGAAAAGAAAGGAGGAGGAGCTTGCCCTACCAACCATCTAAACATGTACAACTAAGGAATTAAAACTTTATACTTGAGGACTTCCACCAAGATGGAGGGGGTAGGTGGAAACACTTTGCGTCCTCGCACAACCAAATCTAAAACAACAAAGTTTTAACAACAATAAACGCAACCAAACCACACAGAAAATCGACAATACAGAGTCCAAAAATAATGAACCGCTCAGCTAAACCAGTGAGAGGGGCAAAGCCAGCAGCGGAGCAGGTTGGGCAAAAAAGATCCCCGACCCGGGCAATGCGCTGGCAGCCAAGGGCACAGATCCCAGGTGCCAGCTAGCTATGGGCAGTCCCAGGGAAGAGGTGTGGCTGGCTGTCTGCGGTCGGTCGAGCATTTGCACACAGATAAACCAGTGAAGAGGAGAGCGTTGAGACCATGGGCGCAGGGTGGCGGGCTCGCACATTTGCTCTCAGATAAACAGGTGGGGGTGAGCGGTGAGGCGGACTGGGTGAGCGGAGAGGATTGCCGTTGCTCCCTCTCTGACCCCACCTCCACATACCGAGTCACAAACCAGCCACCTGGGTGGCCCCGCCCTGGTAAACAACTAAGGCTCCGCTCCTCATACTTAACGAGCGAGAACAGATCAAAACATGGCTCAAGAACAACTCAGAGCCCCAGAGCCAATAAATCTAAGCCATGAAGAAATAGCCAAACTGTTCAAAACACTGGTGATCAAGATGCTCACAGAACTCGTTGATTTTAGTCACAAATTAGAGGAACATATGAAGGCTAAACTAATTAAAATGAATGGTAATGCAGAGGAAACCAATAGTAATGGAAAGGAAACTGGGACTCAAATCAAGGGAGTAGACCAGAAGGAAGGAAAAAATGACCAAACAGAAAAGGATGAAGAAACAAGAATTCAAAAAAATGAGGAGAGGCTTAGGAACCTCCAGGACATCTTTAAACACTCCAACATCCAAATTATAGGGGTACCAGAAGGGGAAGAGGAACAGCCACCAGTGGAAACCTTATCTGAACAAATAATAAAAGAGAAGTTCCCCATTCTGGAAAAGAAAATACACTTCCAGGAAATCCAGGAAGCTCAGAGAGTCCCAAAGAAGTTGGACCCAAGAAGGAACACACCAAGGCACATTATAATTATATTAGCCAAGATTAAAATGAAGGAGAGAATCCTAGAAGCAGCATGAGATAAGAGGACTGTCACCTACAAAGGAGTTCCCATAAGACTGTCAGCGGATTTCTCAAAAGAGACCTTACAGGCAAGAAGGGGCTGGAAAGAAGTATTTCAAGTCATGAAAACCAAAGACCTCAACCAAGGTTGCTCTATTCAGAAAAGTTTTCATTTAGAATAGAAGGACAGATAAAGTGCTTCTCAGATAAGACCAAATTCAAGGAGTTCATCATCACCAAGCCCTTATTATATGAAATGTTAAAGGGACTTATCTAAGAAAAAGAAGTTAAAGAAACATGAACAGTGAAAGGACAGAAAACTCACAGTTATTAACAACCACACCTAAAACCAAAGCAAACCAAAAGGACAGCTAGATCAGGAGTGGAAACATAGAAATGAAGATCACATGGAGGGTTAACAACAGGGGAGTGGGAGGAGGAGAAGGGGGGAGAAGGTACAGAAAATAAGTAGCATAGACAGTAGATAGAAAATAGATAGGGGGAGGGTAAGAATAGTAGGGAAAATATAGAATCTAAAGAACTTAAGACACATGTTCATGAACTAAAGGGGGGGGATGGTGGGGGAGGGGTGTACAGGGTGGAGGGGAACAGAGGGGGGAATAGAACAAATGTAATGGCATAATCAATAAAAGAAAAAAAGAAAAAAAACCCTTTATACTTGAGTAAGAAGAGACCAGAAGAATGTAACTGAGAGCTCAGAAATAGATCCATGTGTACATAGAAGCATTTCAAGTCAGTGGGAGAAAATTGGACATTTTAGTAATGGTATTGAGTCGATTGATTCTCTATTGGGAAAAAATAAATAAAATTATATGCCTACACAGTTATTCTCAAAAATAAATTCTAGAGATATGAAAGATCTAAATATTCCAAAAAATATCAAAACTTTGAAAGAAAATAAGTTAGAGAAAGTCTTCTTAAATCATAACCAGATATATATGTAAATTAAAAATGATAAATTTGACTGAAAATGTGGAAGCGTGAAAGCAGAAACAAAACAAACAGCACAAATGTCATACCATATACCAGAGAGGATGTTTATGGCACAGCTAGCAAAGTATCCAGCCTACATAAAGGCAAAAACCCAATAGAAAAATTAGATAGCCAGGTACTTCATTAAAGAGAAAAACTGGGTAGACAATGACAGAAAAATATGTCAAGGAATAGATGTCCCTTGCCTCTTCCAACTTCTGGTGGCTGCCGGCACTCCTTGGCTTGTGGCTGCATCGCTCCAGTCTCTGCCTCTCTGTTCCCATTGCCTCTTCTTCTGCATGCTACCCCCACTCTGCCTCCCTCTTGTAAGGACCCCGGGGTTGCACTTAGGGCTCACCCAGATGCCAGGGTACCCTCTTCACCTTGAGATCCTCAATGTAATCCTATTGTCTGCCTTAGGAAGTAATGGTCATCCTTCTGCCATACAAGCTAGTGTTGATAGTTTCCAAAGATTAGGATGTGATCACCTTCAGGGGAGGGAGCGGTCATGATCTGACCTACCGCAGGGTAGTTGGCCCCAGTTTCCTTGGTGTAGAACAGGGTTCGTAGTACCTATCCAACAGGGTCGTGGTCATGGTCGTGGAGTGAGTCAGTCCAGGTAAAGCACTTGGAACAGTGCCTGGCACACAGCACCTGCTCAAGAAATGGCACCTGCTGCCACCAACAGGGACAGTGTAGTGCTGGAGGGTTCACAGAGCAAGCCACAAAAAGTCCAAAGAAATCAAAAGAAGAAAAGGCTTCTTTAAAAAGTTCAACTCCATTAACATTTAAATTATCTACATAATAAAGACTTCTGTGTATTAAGTAAAAAGATAAACTTTCCACTGGAAGAAGCTACTGGCAATGAATGAATGAATCTGTAATTATACAGAATCCCTACATTTTTGGTGGGCCCTTCCCTGTGGGCCTCTCACAGTACATCCGTGCCAGAGTGAATTGCAGCCTCCAACCATTGCCCTGCCTCCTTATCTGTGGGCTGTGAGCACTGAAGGGGATTGTACGGTGCAAAAAGAAAAAAAAAAAAGAATCCCTACAGATCAATACAGAAAAGACAACCTTATTTAAAAAAATAGGCAACAGATTTAAACAGGTGATTCACAGGAAGGAAAAATAAATGGCCAATAAGCATGAGGCGATGTTTATTTAACCTGCCTGGTAATCAGGGAAACACGTTTAAACTGCAGTGAGATACCATTTCACTGCTATTAGGTCAGCAAGACATTGAAGAGTCTAACAATGCCCCGATTCACGTTGAGGGTAAGAGCAATAGTGAGAGCACAGACGGTGACAACTGATTCGAAGTTCAATCTAAGCAATGTGTATACACGCATCATCAATCTAAGAGCACTGATTACAAGATGCACTGATTATTTTACATACCAATAAAAGAACAACACTGTGAAATCATTATAAGACATCAAGAATTTCGGAGACGTTAAAATGAGAAAAAGGTACATCTCCGACCATGAAGTACAGTAATAGAGGAAAACATTGGAAACAACCTAAATGTTTATTCATCACAGAAATGGCTCCATAAAATGTGCTATACATTCCCACTATGAAATTCTTATAGCAGTTAAAAGAAATAGATCACCAAAAAAAGATATTATGGAGTAGAAATAGGAAGATGCAGAATCATATCCAACAGTGTAACATTTATGTTCACACACACACACACACAAGCAGTCGCACCAAACTAGGAAAAATTACCTTCTGCAGTGGAGGGATTGCATCAATGCCTCCATTGCCCTTGCTTGCCTCAGTTTCTCCCTTTTGAAATGCCTGCCCATACTGGCTCTGGGCTGAGCTGTGTGACTTGCTCTGGCCAATGGGGCAGCAGAAAACTGGACACAAGCAAACCCTGAATGAACACTGTGCTGCCTTACAGACCCTCTCAACCACACAACAGGAAACCTAGGAATAGCCTAGTGGAAGAATGAGTGGAGGAGAGGGAATTGACCCAGCCCAGACCACCCAGACCATGGCCAACCCGCCCGGTGGCCACCAGGGTGGCCTCAGCCAGCTGAACTGCCCAGGCCATCTGCAAACTCATGTGCAAAGCTACTGTTTTGGAGTGGCAGGTTAAGAAGTAGGATGGTGTTCAAAGGGCACTTAACCCTTACTTTTCTTCTCCTCCAAAAAAAATAAAAAAAGGTGAGCCCTGGCTGTTGTAGCTCAGTGGATTGAGCATGGGCCTGTGAAGCAAAGGGTCACTGGTTCAATTCCCAGTCAGGGCACATGCCTGGGTTGCAGGCCAGGTCCCCAGTAAGAGAAACATGAGAGGCAACCACACATTGATATTTGTCTCCCACTCTTTCTCCTTCCCTTCCCCTCTCTCTAAAAATAAATATTTTTTAAAAGGTGAGGAAGAACAATAAGAAACAGATTAATTTGTGTATCAAAGACACAGCCTCAGACACCGGCAGCTGGAAAGAGCAGGATCTATTCTGCTCATCAAACTGGCAGAAAAGAAGTTTGGTGACATTCAGTACAAAGGTAAGGAGGCGGGCGCCCAAGCGCGGGTGCGGGTCTCAGCTGGTGGAGCCGAGTGGGCCACGTCAGAGCCAGACATGTCGGCTCTAGCATCCATTCTAACCAGAAGACACCGAGGAACAGTGTGCCCCCCCACCACAGCCCACCGGACTAATGTTGAAACAGACTCACAGATAGAGGCCAGACTGATGGCGGCCAGAGGGGAGGAGGCCTTGGGGTCTGGGTGCAAAAGATGAGTGGGTAGGAGGTACACATTGGCAGGCACAAAACAGTCACCACGGGGAAGCGAACTCCAGCACAGGGAAGGGAGTGTACATCCTGCAGGACGGGGCGGGGCCAGGCGGGGGCTGGGAAGGCCAGGGGATGGCTCGGCAAAGCGCATGACTGTCTGACCACCGTGTGGTGGTACACGTGAAACCAACACAAAAGAATACTAAATGTAAACTCATTTAAAAATAAAATTTTAAAAAAACCAAACCAAAAGAATTACCCCCCCAAAATAGACAGGGAGGCATTTTACCCAAAAGGATATACAGACGGCAAAGCAGCACACGAGGAGATGTTTAACCCCATCAGCCACGAGGGAGAGGCGCATCAGGACCCAGCCGGGCTGTCGTGCCGTCCACTGGACAGTAAACAGCGGTGGCGCCAAACGCTGACAAGCACGTGGAGCAGGCGCGCCTCCCTTTCGTGTCTGGTGGAGCCATGAAGTGGGACGGCCACTCTGGAAAGCAGTTTGGCAGCTTCTCACAAAACTAAAACTATGTTTATCATGTGACCTAGCAATGGCCTTTGACCCATCGCTCACTTAGACAAGCATGTATAAATGTTGTGTGGATAAAGTTCTTGTTTCAATACAGAGGTAAAATATTTCAGTGCAGAAATAAAAACGTATGTCCACACACCACTGACACGTGCTTGTTTATAGCCGCTTTATTGATAATAGCCAAAAATTGGAAACAACCTAAACTTCTCTTAATAGGTGAGCGGTTAAAGCGGGAGACGCCCACAGCACAACACGCTCACCAGTGCAGAGGAAGGACCTCTGTCGCACGTGCAGCCAGCACGCACAGTGCACGGAAAGGGCCAGGTGCAGAAGGTGGCATACTGTGAGGGTCCATTTGCACACATTTTCAGAAGGACAAAATTCTACAGGTGGAACACAGATTAGCAGTTGCCCGAGGGGGAGCTTTAGAGGGGGTTGAGGGAAGGGGACGACCGTGATACTCAGGAGTAGCAAGAGGGAGAGCTTTAGAACAGGGGAACAGCTGCGCTGCGATGGTGTTTACGCAAACCGACGCAACTGATAAAATGACAGAATTACGTGCACACGTTGGCCCAGCACCGCCGTCAGGGTTCTGACACTGCCCGGAACTGCGCGAGCTGTCGCCCTTGGCGGGGCCTTACCCAGGGCCTCTCTGCACTGCCTGAGCCATTTCCTGTGAATCCATAATTAGTTCAAAACAAAAAGCCTTACAAATGAATGTTTAAATACTGAGTCTTAACATAAAACATATGTGCCGAAATAGCTTATTTCTAGATTTTCTGATTGCAGAACTGTGAAGAATGTCAAAATAAACTCAGCGTTTTCCGTGTCCCTGCGCAGCCGGTGGTGGTCAGACGCGCGCACACGCCCAGTCTCGCCAGGTGGTAACCTAGCCAGGCGGGCTCTGAGCCGGGTGCTGACGTCCGTTCATGGACTGTAAGGAGAAGTGTGTGTCCAGCAACCAGCATGGTTTTTGAATGAAACGGAGTCACCCAGAAAATGTCAGAGTGCAACACATAACAGGGACAAGGAGATGTCTTGAAACTTTTATGTAATCTTATATAAGGGTGTGTACTCTGAGTCACTATAAAAAAAATGTTATTTCTTACTGGGGATGATAAAAAAATGCTGTGAGAAGGCACCACCCTGCAACCACACCTCCCCGTGCGCGGGTGCAGGCGGGGCAGGGCACCCTCACGGACCACGGGAAACTGGGGAGTCGAACACCCAACGTCAGCGGGGGGAACGGCTAAATGAACGCAGTGTGGTCCCCCCAACCCCTGGGACGCCGCGGTGTTCATTTTCTACCCGTGGCTGCCGTCACAAATTACCACAAACTTAGCGAGTTAACACGGTGTATTATCTCACAGTTCTGGAAGTCGGAAGTCCGCTGAGTCCCGTGAGACTAACTCCGGACTAACTCCGCTCTTTCCTTCCAGAGACTTTCAGGGAGGACCCGTTTCCTACTCACACCGCTGCCGGCAGAACTCGGCCCCTGCAGCTGTAAAACGGAGGTTGCTTTTCTTACTGGCTGTTAAATGGAGGGCCATTCCCAGGTCCCAGAGACCACTGCAGTCCTCGGTTCATGTCCCCTCCTCCACCTCCGAAAGCCAGCAACAGCGGGTCCTTCCACCCCCCATCTCTCTCCCTACCCTCTGCCTTCTTCCTCCTCTGTGAAAACCCTGAGTGTGTACTGGGCCAACCTGATCATCCAAACTAATCTCCTGTGTCAAGGTCCTCCTCACCTCTCATCACATCTACGAAGTCCCTCTGCCCTGTAAGGTGACGTGTGCACCGATCCCAGAGGTTAGGGTGGGGACCTCCGCGGGGTCATCATTCTGCCCTCCACAAGCACGAAGCAGTTTTCTAAAATGACGTGGGCCTCTGCATGCAGATCTGGCTAAATTGCCAAGATATTGTGTTAAGTGAAAAAGGCAAGTCACAGTGCTGGCCAGGTAGCTCAGGTGATTGGAGCGCTGTCCCATACACACCAAAAGGTTGCAGGTTCGATCCCTAGTCAGGGTGTATGGGGGAGGCAACCGATTGGCGTTTCTCTCTGACATCTCTGATTCTCCCGTCTCATCCCTCTTTTCCCTCCCCTCTCTCTCTGAAATCAATAAAAAAATAATAATAATCTTGGGTGAGGTTTTTTTTTTTTCAGTTTTTTTAAAGGAAGTCATAGAATGGTATGTGGAATAGGCAAAAGTAGGTTTACAGTTGTGAGTACACAAAGCACAGAGCTTATTCTTGTATTATTGTTTATTAATAAATTTGTCTTCTTCTGTAAACCTACTTTTTCCCACCCCGTACAGCATGTTCCCTCTGGTGTTTCAGACACACAACCCCACACAGTAGGCACGCGCACACAAATACTGCAGATGCCCCCTGGGTACGTAGGCAGGATGCACAGAATAAAGGTTGGGGAGGGTGTACATACACCAAACTGTAGTCATGGCAACCTCTAGGCGAGTAGGGAGGAAACCAAGATCGGGGGACCTCCGCGTCAGTTAGTACGGTTTTCCTTTCCAAAAATGAGGCTCTATTCATGCATGTGTCATTGAGCAATTAAAATTTTATTTTAAAAATAATATGAACGTTTGTGATAAACTGCTCCTCAACTACCCCAAGGGGCCTAGTAGAGACTGATTCTCTTATTGTATTCTACATTAATAAGTCAAGGTTTCGTAAATCTTTTTTTATATAAACAAAAGAAAAAAACAAACCAAGGAAAACAGCTCCACAAACA